TTTATTTCTTTAGTGTTCTGTCTGACGACAGGTCCATATGACCAGGATCCTTCCATCCTTTTCTCGGACTGGGACCTGTTCATATACGTTCTTGGCAGATGATCCGGAAGTGGTTTGCCATTGCCTTCTTCTGTGTGTGTGAATGAAGTAATTGTTGGGATGCCACGGAGAAACCGGGGAAGCCCCCGGAGGAAAACTCCGTGTTGCCTAGACCACGGCCTTGCCCAACACAAGTTATAAATTCGGGCACCGCCAGGAATCGAACCCGAGACCCCAGGATTACAAGGCCAGCGTTCTAACCGCTAGACCAGTCTGTGTTATAGAACGTTTCCAATAATTCCAGCAGATTTCACTATTTAAGGCTAGTTCAGCTCGTAAGCGTGATTCACGTAGATGGGCATTAGACGTATAAAGGGCGTACAAAATATTCTTATTTTACGTTGGTTGGTTTGGCATTTCAGTCTTCTTGTCTGAATGCATAAAATGTTAAGCACAATTTCTTTAAAAAATAATTTTAAACGAAGGAAAATTTTAGATCGTGTTTTTTTAGTTGCTTCATATACGTTTGGCTTTTATTAATACAAAAAAAAATGTTTACTGGTATCCAATTGATAATTCTTTCTTTAAAAAAGAAAATGGGGTAACGATCATGTTTTAATCACGACCTACCATTGCCTTTAAGTGGTCTCAGTACAGGTGACTCTCGTCATACGCGCTTTCGCTAACCGATTTTTCTCATATACACGGCTTTAATTCAGTACCATGAGGATTATCAATAGATTATCCGCGGTTTCAGTGATGCCTCGCCATTTTTACTCTGCGGACAACAAATTAAGGCCTGTCGTGGTGTATCACTCTGAGAATCCACGGGAAAACTAACACGTTTCGCGTGTTACGCGTTTTAGATGTGAGCGGTAATACGTAAGAACGAAACACCCGCTTATAACGACAGTCACATATATATGAATAAATGTAGAGTTCATAATTTATGCCTTGAACATACTGATTTCTGCAGTCTGGATTCTATGAACAGTGATTAATTTGGCAAAAAAGCATCTTACATCCGCATAATTTTCCTCTCAAGTATAAAGTCTGTCTTAATTAGGGCTACTCATACGCTCACATAACGTATATAATATTTCAAAATTAATACGTAGCATTGCACACAGTGCTCAGAGAGATATGGCGACAGTCCCCCATTAGTGGCGTGCTTAATAACACTGGTATTTATTCTGCCCTCAGACGACACTAATGGTCTTTATTTCTATCTCTTAATAGGCACTTATGTGTGCTTAGCTTGTGTAAACTATTTAATTTACTTTTTATGCAACGATTATGCAAATGAAGTGAAATTCACGACGTGAAGTTCCACTAAGACCGCAAACAAACACAGTTTTGCCGTCAAGACTCGCATTCATGGAGACTTATGTTCTTCAGGCGAATATCGGGCAAGGCATTTCCTCTAATAGACAGTGTGCTGTATATTTATGATAGTAATGATATTAGACCTAAAAGCTTACCTCAAGCTAAAGGGAATGTACCTTTCAAACAAGCCAATGATATTTGTTTTCGTATTTGTATGCATTTAATATTCCTCCTTCCATCACAGTCAAAGCTAAGTAACTTATCAACTTAATATAAGGTCGTTAAATAATACAAGAATAAATATTTTAACATGAATGGAATTTATGGATAAAGACGTTTTAGGCTTTTTTTAGCGTTGTTCTAATAATTTTTTTAGAGCAGTTCTGTCATACCAAATGTTATAATTTAAATTCAGACTGATTTCTGATTTAATTGTACATATAAAAGTTAGGAAATTTTAAATTAAATTTTATGTGGATTGACAGTAACTTATAGCAAATATTTCTTTTTTACCTGTCTTCTGCTATGGACAGTTAAAATTATCATTGGCACGAGTACAAATTCGTTCATAAGTGTTCGTAGACCAGCAACTGCTTAACTGTTTGAGATTCTAAGCTAGTCTACGTAATATTTAAAAATTCAATTTTCACCTCAAAGAAATCACAACACGTATAAATTACAAATATCAACTGGTTAATGCTATTTAAATAAATAATCGCTGTTTATTCTGAGAATAATATGAAACACTCATTCTATAGGTAAAATAAATAGTTGTTGTTTATTAATGCAGGTGGTACATATAGTTACCACTGAATTTTAAAGAGCTCAGTAGGCTGAGCAGTAAGTGATAATTTTGTTTCTCGGAAGAAGGCTTTAATTTAAGTACAATCTGCATTGGCTTAAGACTTTCTTACCTAACATCAAAGAATTAGGCCTTAAAAATATAACATGTGTTCTATGCTCTGCTGTTTCCCGCAACCAACGACCTCTGTATTTGCAATTTTGTATTTGCGATTTGTTGAAAATTCTATTAATTATAATATCCTTTGACGCAGACACCAATATTGATTATTATGCTGATTCTCCATATAGACACGATGATTCAATTAACGATTAGTTAATTACTCTTCGGTTTATCTGATGGCATGACGAAATTCAGGAATCGATAATGAACGTGACTAGGTGTATACGCATTAGATCTCAAACAGCTGTCAGTAGCATGAATTAAATTCGAAATTATGGTAGATTAAAATTCTTTGGTTCATGGGGGTAAAAATATGTCGAATGCTTTCCTGGTATTGTTCAAGATATTTGTTAGATATTTCGTTACATTTTCTGTGGTTCCAATGATTACCGGTATAACGAAACATTCGCTATATTAGATGTTTTTTTTATTCCTTTTGTGTTACGTATTCATTCCTACATTTTTCAGTAAGGAAATTTGATTTCGCTTGTTTTTAATAATTGAGTCTCTCTTTCTGTATGTAAACATTGATTCCATATTACTGTTGTGTCTTCATGTTTACATGCAGACTTAGAGATGTGGGAATACCAGTTTTATGTTGTTTCAATGCCTAATGTCTTGCATATTGAATCATTCAGATGTGTACAGACTTTATAATGTCGTATTGTATTCATCCCTTGCCAGAACGCGATATCCTGATATGGTGATCAATAGTTTCTTCGTATTAATGTCATCAACGTCGTCATTATAAGAATCTGTAAACTTGTGATGATTTGTTAAAAGTTACGTCACATGCTCCGAGAAGTTGCTATATATAGGTCCACGAACAATTCCCAAATTGTAAGACCATCTCACCTCTCATTGAAATACAAGGGTGCCGTACTCCGGGTAGGTCTGTCTCCCTTTCAGCGACGTGACCTTTGCAGAATGCGCCTGTTAGGGTCGCAATGCCGTATGTCGGTCCACGTTTTATAACCCGAAACGTTGAGTGGAATTTAATTAAATTTTATATTGGGGTGTTTTACTAAAATCTGTCGATACATTACAGTTCTGGTTAAAATCGGACGAGAGTAACCGACAGTTTACGTGAATACATACATGGATTTCTGCTGTTAAGAGACACAAATATTGTTACTTGTACAAATAATGTAAACTGTGTACATACTAATAAGGCCTTGCGCAAACAGAGCTTGAAACTTGTCCATGCTGACAGCTGATAAATGGGGCCACTAGCTGAAGATATAAAAATAATATCCACTAAGAAACTGAGAAGTCATTGTATTCGGGGAATGTTTGCTAACAGTCTGTTAAAGATCTTTCACCATCTCAATTCCTATCAACAAACTTAAATATTAAAACGCTTAAAACTAAATGTAACTGGCTCTTTACGTCTATGAAATGTTACCACTTACCTCACATTTAGGACGCAGATTGAGGATGTTTGAGAAAGAGGTGCCGAGTAGATCAAATTAACCTCGTGTCATCTTGCAGATGGTTGCAAGAACAACCACACCCACGAACCACGTTTTATTTTCAGATGTGACCCAATTTCACCGCACGTATTTCACAAACACAAGACATTTTACTCTTGGTCTCATAGTATCCGAAATGAGACAGTTAAAAGTAACTTTAAACTCATAATTTCGGTACGATACGAAATTATTTATTTGCTATGAATTTTATCGGAAAGTTTGACAGCAACAGACAGATATCTTTATGACAAACGTCTTAAGCCGAGTGTACACTAAAGAAACTGGAAACTCCAACTCAACTTTAACTTCACTTTCAATCAATCGAAATTGAACAAACCATGCGAAGTCATATCGCGTAGTGCACTCTTGGAAAAAGAAAACTACCGCAACTTCAACGCAACTGGCGGAAAATTTGGAAACTAAACTGAGAAGTACTTTCCTATGACTCGAGTTACGGTCCATTTGTTCAGTTGGCTATGGGAAAAAGAATGTCTTGTAGAAAGAAATGTAGTATTTGTTCAGTTAAGTGTCGACGAACCGTGTTTGTACGATTATTCTAGGCTGGATAAAATTGTTTTCATAAGAATTAAAAGAACGCCTGTTAGCGTGAACTTGAGGCGATCGGACAGACCGAGTTCCAAGATGACTTGCACGTATAACATATATGAAGCTAGCTAAATGGATTTGTTACAAACATGGTAATACGAAGACGATCATCGCCAAGATGAAGCACGTACAATCCTACTTCTTACTAGAATTACTTTTCATTACGACTAAACAACAACTGTACAACTTTCTGCATCGGAAACCGTATTATGGCGATGGTTCACACTAAATCCATTTCCGCTGTCCTCGCGTTTAGTTGAAGGATGAAAATGCCGGCACATTTTGTCTCACCAGCGACAGCTAAACAAAGAGAAAATTTAGTCTCAAGAGTTTCACAAAAGTTAGCTCGAAAATGTTACTCCAAGCTAACAGAAACCCTTTAAATACGCTGAAAGCAATTATTCACAGAATTTAAATTTTCAGACCAGAGTAGCGAGCGCTGACCCCCGCAGTTCGTTTCGTTGCCTTTAGAAATCGCCTCTCCGTTCGCATGTTAGGGAATTGTTTCTGACGCACAGTCAAGGAAGCATTTGAAATGCAGTAAGCAATGTTTTACTTTGAAGCCGTCTTGTTATGGGCTGAAGAAGGCCGACGTTTCAGAGGTGTTTAATTCCTCTGAAACGTCGTTCTGCTTCTATGATACTACTCAGTGCACTCTGAGCACTCGAAACGTCACTTGTGAGGGGCGGTTGTGGGTCTTCGTGTTCTAATAAAGACAGAGAATTTCAAGTATCAGCTTGCCAAGGAGTACTCTGTTCCGTAGAGTTAATGGAGCAAGGTATTTAATATATAAAAGCCTGAGAAGCTACCGGAAACAGACGTTAAGCGTTCGTTTAAACATCTTTGGGAAAGGAAAGTCCCAATCATTTTATTTACAATTAAAGCCCTTATCACAACAGCTGTTGGATTTCATCCCCAGAATCAACGCACACATAAAATTATTTACATGTTTAAGTCCATTAGTTAAATTAATTGATTCACAGTAAACTTCAGAAGTTCTTCGCGGTTATTGATTTAGGATTCTAGTATACATGTTGATTAGTCTGTTATGTTTAAACTTTTAAGTCACAACCAAGCAATAATGTCGACTCCAGGATGATAATCTTGAAAGGTTTCCAGTTGAGGAAGTCTCTTATATACGCGGTCTTTCTTCCTTGGCCTGCGCGGGTTAGAAGCTCGGCGCTAGGAGACGTCATTCTGGACAATGGCATCCACGACGTCGTCTTTGGCAATGCAGTCTCTGACGCCTTGAAGGATGATCTTGACTCGACGGTCCAGGGCAGTCAGGTGGGGTTCCCACAGGACAGGGGCCACGGGGTCTTTGCTCATGGAATCACGCATAGCTTCACTCAACTTCCGAGGGCCGTTGTGGAACCTGTGGTCAGCAAATCATCAGGATAAATGATTCAGACACGAATAATATACATTATCGTGTTCACAACAGCCCACTAGTGAACTATATTCATAGCCGGTTGAATCCAACGGCACACGAATAAGAGATCAAGGATTAACGCTGTTCCTTCCCGCATTTTGACGGACCTCCATGATAGCTTTACATCGTTATACCAGCATCCGGATTTGGTCTTTAACCATTCTTTCCAAAAATCCTAGCCATTCCTTGTTCTAGTCTAGTTAAGGTAATTCAATATTAGGCCTGTTTGGTATCTGCTGTTCTCTAGAATTTGCGCTACGCCATTCGACATCAATTCATTTATTCATTCATTCATTGTGTATACTGAGACTTTTATGAGGACGTCATTTTCTGCCGTCTCCATTTAATCTATTCATTAAGGTCCATTTTAATATTATCCTCCCTTCCACTCTTAGGTCACTCTAGGTTTCAGAATTCGGAGCGGCGAATATAAAGATGGTTGTTTTCTGAGTTGCTGGGCCGTGTGGTCTGGTATAAGTTTGCCGACGTTTCAGAGATACTTGCTGCCTCCATCATCTGAAACGTCGGTACGCTGCTATCAGACTACACGTCGCAAGAACCCAGAAGGCGGCCATCTTCACAGACCACCCGTACGATTTTCTTCGGTTTTATACAAGAAAATGTACGTATTTCTCATTTCTCCTCTTCGTAATAAATGCCTACCCACCTCATCCTGCTTAATATCTCTTGAAGGACATATCAATACATTATAAGGCCCCTAACTGTTCAGACTTCTCCACCCACCTGTACAGAAATGTATATTTGTCTCATTTTGTGTACCCAGCTGTTTGTAATTTAACAAAATCTGCAAAAAGGGATGTTAATAATTGTTACCGTATTTATAGCGTGACATCACAAAAAAAAATTCTGTTTTATAATACCATGGCGAGTGTCGGTGACAATGGCGAGCTCAGTGTTTTACATAGCACGTCAAATCATTTCAAGTCCTCCCTTCAACATAATAAAAACACACAAAAGGGAAGGAAGTGTTATAACACAAACACAGAAAATAAACAAATATGCCTATTCTAACTGACAGGCCGTATCAAGCAGCTCGGCGTGCTTTGAATTCTTTGAAAGTTCGTCCGCGTTCGTGCATTGAAACTCGTCTTTTCATCTCCACATTTGTCGTCGTTGAATTTCCTCCTACTTGACGATACATTCAAGATTCCTTTCATGCTTCTGAGATGTTTCTTTTAATCCCTCTTTGACAGTTTATTTGTTCCCGAGAGAAAAGGAGTGAAGTAGGCTTAAGTACACAAACGATTTAAAAATCTAAACTCGCTATTATCAAGTTAAGACTTGCTTTGAGGTGTTATTTATTCTGGTCTTCATTATAATGGCCAGTTCAACGTTCAGGTACGAAATTTGTTTAGTATTTGCATCTTTTCATCAGTACTTTCTTATAAAAAAAAGTAGATCTAGTACAGAAAAGTGATGAAACATGTTTCAAAAATCCAATTTTCGTTCTGTCAGTGACAAACTGTCATTTTAACATGTATCTGAGTGATTACAATTAATTATGCGTGAAGTTAGAAAAAAAAATGGAAAAATTAGCATTTTCAGCGTCCATTAAGATCGTTTGTTCTAAAATGTCATTTTATCGTATTTTATATAAAAAAACGAAACATACTCCGTTAAACAGTGATTTCAGGTAAAATATTCCCATTCTTCGAATACATAACTATACATACAGGATTTTAGTTTACAGATGTGTAAGTAAAGTAAAGTTTGTCCCACTATACGCCATGTAGGCGCTTGGGGGGAGTGAAGGTATAGCTCCTACTCATTCTTGACCCCGGCACTAGATGGGGGTGAGTGGTCAGCATCACGCCCCGGCCGGCTTTACCCCCGGGAAAGGACCCCGGTACCCATTGTAGAGGAGGCT